CAAACCTCAAGGTGCTGATGTTAAACTGAATGCACAACTCAGGCAGTCTTTTGTTTAACCAGACACAAGTTAAGCATTAATTTTGAGGAACACGAGAACGTGTTACAAACAAACCCAGAATAACAAAGAACCACATTCAACAGCATTTAATAGTTAACTTTGCTAGTCTCTAAGCATATCACAAGGCTGACACTTTAACACACACTAACTGCTTTCCCTCCAGAGAGAACAGCACAGACGCTCTCTGATCTTAGAACAGGGGATCAACGCGTCTGTCAGGGGTTGTGGAAGAATAAACAACAGGAGCAAACTGGTTTTGAATGAGGAAGGGTGGGGGCAAGGGCTGTTAAGTTGTCAGAGGAAATGGAATGTGCCGATCTGCCCGCGTTTCCTCCTGCACATTCAGCTGACAACAAAATATCACCCTAGTCTGGGAAAAGTCACGGAGCTCATTTTACTCACAGATAAAAGTGTGGAAGAACACTTTTGGCCCCTTGTTGCCTTTTCCGAGATAAGGAACTGTTGAATCATGAGGTGGAATTTAAATTGGCCACCCCCCACATGTTGAATTTGAATTTGAATTGGACAGGATGAGGAATTGACTAAATAGTAATTCAAAGAAATGTAATACCATACCAATAATCCATTCTGGGAAATAATTGTTTTCCCATCCTGGTCCAGAAAAGTTAATCAATTAAAAATAATGCAATTTATAAACTAGCATCCTGTTTGCTATTGAATTGAATTAAAATTAAAAAAAATTCTGAATGGTGCACAACCCTGCAAGATTTATGGAAGAAGAGGCAGTTTCACGATCCACCTCAACCAGAATTTGCAGGTCAGCATGTTAAAAATTCAGACAGGTGTCAGAGAAAAACTCAGTATAGAGATTGAAGGTAAACAAGTGCATTGACCAACAACTGGCAATATAATTATTGCTGAAAAGCCAAACAGAAAACACCAATTACCAGTTTCTGTCAGTGCTTAGTCAAGTTGTTCACTCTTCAACATCCAAAAAGCCACAGCTCAGCTGGATCGCTTAAAATGCCATCTTGCTGTTTTTCCTCAGACACTTTCCATGTGGCAGATGACATGAAAATGTATTAATCATCAGACCGGCCTAAACCCGAAGCTTATAATTTATCAGCCTCTCTTAGTCTGCCGTACTTTCTCAGAAGAAAACGTCCATCTGCTAAACCTCCTCGCACCACCTCAGCCTCTGCATTAAACCTTCTGTCTGACAGCTAGTTATTAGCTCATTCTCTCCGAGTGACCAGACATTTTGAACTCTTGTTTTTCATTAGTTCCTCGCCAGGCTTTCTAATGGGTCTGGTGGGAGATAAGCACACAGCACTGGGTTAAAAGCACAGGAGGACAGGATATGACAGTGCGGGGCCGGGGCCCTATAAAGTTTCAGTGACGTTAAGAAAAAATCTCATATGAAATGCCACGGAAGGCAGCTGGCCCATAACAGGAAACTGGTCCTGATAATAGTTATTTGTGCAGTGATAGGGCGTGGGGCTGAGAATGCACTCCTCTCAGATAAAGGCTCAGGGAGCACGGCCTACTAATAGTATCGAAGTATGGAAAAAAAGAGGGGGTGAGTAAGGATGGCTGCGCTGAAAGCAGAGAAGGAGAGAATGAACTGTCAGTGAGCTGCTCCATCAATAGCACATTGTGGTGGGAGTTCTACAAAAGGGCCATAAGGGAAATGTGTGAAAGAATTGTCAATACCCTCTCTCCACCCGATGAGGGAACACAATCTATAATGCCATCTCAGAAGCATAACTCTTTCTTGCGGGTCTAAAAAAAGTATCTGTGGTGTCCTATGAGAGTGAGGATTAAATTGTCATTTTGGCATGGAAGCTGAACTCGCTCTATGGTCTAAAGCAGGGTCAAGGCCTTTAAGGCAGGCATGGTTTGGAACGCTCACCCACTGCACTCAGCACCTGTGAAACAGACTGACTGGGAGTGTTATTGTTGTGTGTGACAGGGAATTTAAGAGCAGGGGATATTTTTAGGTCAAGCCAGATAAATCAGATACATCTCATCCTTTCCAGATAGTAACACCATTCCTCGTAGAATCCTAATTAATGTTTCCTCTTGAGAGCTTTTGTGAAACCACTTGAAGTAGGCCTATAAAAAAAAATACCTGTGATAGTCACTGAGCTGAGGACACGATGATGAAAGAGTGCTTTTTTGAACGTGGAACAAAATATAAGAGCTTTTGGCAGGTTGGGATGTATTGTTTGGAATTCCCAATCCTCTGCAGCTAATTTTTCTTTGAATTGCTACAGCGGGATCCAAAAGTCTAGTTTAATTCAATGTCATTTGCCGTTTCTTTATTCAAATTATTTGTGAAATTTGCTAGCAATTTCTGAGTGTAAATTGTTTTAAAGTAAATCCTTTTATTACAATTTGAATAAAAAGTAAAAATTGTGGTTTGGTACAAAGTTGGTGGTTGTTGGTGCACTTCCAAACAAAACATCCCATAATGATCATGTGTCAGGGCAGGGGTCATTCGCACAGAACGTGTTTTTGCATTTAAAAATGGAATAAAAAAAAACATTAAGGTATAGAAACTCGTTTTATAAAGTTGAACGCTTAACTCTGAACTAAAATAACCAACTCATAAGAGTAGTTTTTTTGTGAATCAGGCCACACTTAGCAGCAAAAAACTATACGAGAGACATTTCTTGACATTATTTCGCATTACACTGTTATTGCTTTACATTCGATACAGACCGCAAAACTCACATTTACAGCCCAGGTGAAACATGAGTTCTTTTGGCCTTGAAGATGAATGGTGTGCAGGAAACACTGGAAAAATGGAATACATCTGACCATCTGTAGTCATATGATCTTTGTCACAAATGTGAGTATTGACCTAGAAATAATATAGAATTCGAAATATTTCGATTTTATGCGTAACCTAACTTTCTTTGTTTTAACTTTGTTTTTTGAATTTTATTTCAAAGTTTAAATGAAAAACAAAATCCCAGATTTTCAATATCAAGCTTTTGGACCCCACTGTATATATTATATGTTTGCACTTTTCTATGGAATGATAACAACAAAAGAAGCTCTTTTAGGTAAAAACTCTATACCTGCTAGAGCAGAAGATAGATTTAAGCGTGTTTATCTGTATTCATGCAAAAGGGGTTCACATACACCAACTGCTAAACTCATAACATTATAGAGGGAATGATTAGTTATCTTGGCAGCGTTTTATATGAAGCCCATAAAATACTGCTTTCTCAAAGCCTAAGCCTTCAGCTGGATATATTGAATGCAAGACTGCCACATGGTCATTGTTACCAAAAGCCATTTTTCTCCTGGTTTCCATTCCTCCACTCCTCTCATCCCTCTTTCCTCCTCTCCTTTGTTTGTGCTTGACTTGTTTTCCCTGGTGTTCTTATATGATTACAGCGTGCTTGTTTACTGCAAATACGGCCCATCTCTATATTTCGAAGAAAAGTGCAGAACCCTGTGGATATTGTGTGCTGTCCCTTTATTTCCCTCACATCCTTCTCTTCCATTTCTTTTCTGTCACTCTCTCGCACATGCACCGCAAGTATTCACACACTTGTAAGTCTCCTGACCTATACGCTGTGAAAGTGTGTGTGTATTATGTTTGGTTGTGTGCCAAAGCATCAGGATTCTTTTAAGGGTCCTCTGCATCTGCCTTTCAAATAGATTATCTTTCTCTTTCTCGCCGTCACACACATAAGTATAGAGCATCTATACATATTAAACACGCATGCAGACACAGTTGGGTGTATTACTGAGACACAAGGGCTATCCATTTCATAGGTGGATAATTGGATCTTTCTTTGCAGAATAATTATAATCTAAATCATTCCAACTTCAAGCCTGCCACTGGAGTGCCTTGTTTGTGTGGAAATTTGTGTGTGGCATATGGCCTATTATGGTAGTCAGAATGGCTTGTGTGTCAATACTGTGAATGTGCGTGTGCAGAAAGGCTGAAATTTCATTTCAGCACACCCTTGATTATGAATGGCTGGAAGATGCCGCAAGGAATTACTCAGTCACTTGACTGTCCGAGTCTCATGACAGCTAGAGAGTGTGTGTGTGTGTTATATATGTCCCTGTGTGTGAGGGAGTGAAATGGAGGATACAGAGGTCCACACCAGATCTGACAGGAAAACAGCATTTATCTATCCTCCTATCATATAGATTCAAGTCATCAATACTTGTTGTACATCAGTTCAGCTGACAGCATTTGTGGCATATTCCTTTACCATAAAAATTATTTTCGACTAGTCCCTCCTGTTATTTAAAAAGATCAAAAACCTAGGTGACAGTGAAGCACTTACAATAGAAGTGAATGGGGTCAATTTGTGAATGGCTAACATAAGGTTCAATTGGTTAATATTGGATAACTACATTAGTTAACAAACTAACAACTAACAATGAAAAATACTTTCAAAGCATTTATTAATCTTAGTCAGTTAACTTATTAACTTAATGCATTAACTAACATTAAGTAATGAGACCTTATTGTAAAATGTTACAAATGCATACATTTTTTTTACTAACCTTATCGTTATACTAACTAATTTTACAAGTTTGTTGCCATGACAAAATGAGAGACCACTCAAAATTATTTTTGTGGTGATCAACTTTATGCCAACATTCTGTAGGCTACCTGAACCCCAAATACTGCTTTAATAAAGTGTTCTCCCAGCAAACATAAGCTGTAACTTGTTTTGACAGAGCTAATCAACCATTCAGAAACCAAATGTCCTCATAATGAATCTCTAACCTTTCTTAGCTCAATTTTAAGCCTATTTACTATTGTTATATTTGACAAATCAGCCAAGCCGTTTGGTTACGGCTGTGAACAACACAAACATCTGTAATATAAGACTCTGAGCAAAGGTTTAAGTTTTTCATGAGGGCTCTGAACCAATCGCCATCAGGAGGGCAGGTTTTGCTGGTCGGGGCGGAGTTTTCTAGACTATTTAAAGTGCGGCGGTGCAAAGTGTTGGAGAAGCCAGTGTACCTTGGAGGACACGAAAGGGGGAGGTAACGCGTTTGTTTTGGAGACCTTGCGGGATACACACAGCACCAGCACCAATGGAGAGTAAGGACCATTAACTATAGTCCTGGGGAAATACGCAGGTATGCGTCCGTTCGAGGTGTTGTGTTGAGAACTTATTAACATACATGAGCCTCGTGAGCAGTCAACATTGACTCGCCCTTTTCCTCTTTGTGCCGCGCTCTGCGCGACTGGCTTGTTTACGCACCCAGGTGCGCGTGGTGGTTTATTGTGTAGTGAGGTGACTACTATGGCTCTGTACCTAGACAGCATTTCGAGCGCGTCAGAATAATTCTAGTACGCCTCTCAAGTATGACACTCACATAACCCTTTTGTATTTCAGAAGCAGTATTCCATGTCTCTCCTCTGCCCTGTTATTGATGGGAAACCAACTGGACCGGATCACCCACCTGAACTACAGCGAGCTACCCACCGGGGATCCATCGGGCATCGAGAAGGACGAGTTACGTGTTGGTGTGGCGTATTTCTTTTCCGATGAGGAGGAAGAACTGGACGATCGATCGCAGTCGGACAGCTTTAAAGACAACAACAGCCCGAGCAAAGACGGTCCGATTGCACTTAACGAGATCGAGTACTCGGCGTTCTGCTGCCAGGAATGTATATACTCCAAACTGCGAGAGAATGAGGACCTGAATGTTTATTCTGTGAAAACTTTATTGACCATGTGCAAACCCGGGGATCTACTGGAGTTAGTGGCCAACGCACAACCCCCGCACTGGGCGATCTTTGAAGGGGAGGACCAGGTTATTCACCTCTACAAGGGGGAGATCCGCAAGGACAGCTTGTTTGAGATCAGCTGCGGTCGACAGGGCAGGATAGTGAACAATCGGTACCGTTACCGGCCGCTGCCCGCTGATTTGGTGATGCAGAACGCGAGCGGCCACGTGGGGCTCAGCAGTGGCGAGATTTGCTGGACGAACTCGGAAAGTTTCGCAGCCTGGTGCCGTTTCGGCAAGCGGGAGTTTAAAGCGGGCGGGGAGGCGCACTCGGTCGAGCAGCGCTACTTTCTGAAGGTGCACCTGTCCGAGAGCACCGCGCACACGCTCATGTTCCGCAGCCTGGAGGAGATGATTCGCGAGAGACGGCGCGTGGACGCCAGTGGCATTCTGAAGGAGCTGTCGCTGGTTACCGGGAAGGAATGAGCGCAAATTTGGGACTCTCTGCATGCCTTGAGCAAGGGCTGCTTACCTTTATTTCAGGACTTTGGCAGGGTTGTGCGTATTTGTGTGAACATATTTTGGCAAAGACAACGCCCCTTTTGGTTGTGCTGTGAGAACCGATGGCCCCACTAAAGTCACCCTGTACCTTTAAAAAGGAAAAAGATAAAACATAAGGTGAGAAACATCACAGTTCCCCCATGACAGTCCCTTCAAATTCGCACCCGAGCTCTGCTGCGGCAGATGGTGACCACGATGCGTTCATATGTCTGTGGCAAGCCGTTTTGACATGTATTCCTTAAGACTAACTAGTAGGCTAATTGTTTTTCTTACTAACATTCATTATTTACCAGTAACTATTCAAATAGTATCTTTTCCCTTTGTCCTAGCAATATGTCAATAAATAGCCTACTAGTAGGCTATTGTGTATTCCAATTGTTACTAGAGTTGAGATCAACATCAATACTATCTAATTGGTAGCTAAAAACAGGCACTAGTGCCTAGGAATGTCTATACTGGAAGTAAAGAGTTCATATCTGAACCACAGATCCACCTAGAATGAAATGGCAAAAAATGGCAATCTGTATGGTTGGTTGTCATTATCAGAACAGTGACTTGAAGAAAAGTACTATTGGAAGGAATAATTAGGCTATACTGGTAAAATAGAAAAAGATAGGCCTACTAACCACTATTGGACTACTTGCTGCTAATTAAAAATATGTACTGGTAACCTTAAAACAAATAGGTAGTTTAAAGGAATACTTGTTATACAGCTTGCCACATTGTCTCTTATTTGACTGAACTCTAGCTTTGCGTGAAACGTGGAGCTCGGTTATTGCGCATCTGTGCAGCTGCATTAGTTCTTCTAACCCCCTACAGGCGACAACACACGAGCCTTTGTTTTCATTCTCTTACCAACAAATGCAGCGAACATTCTTCTGTTTTTGGAGTCCATATTTTTGTATTTCAGTTAGTACGTTTAAAGAAAACTGTTTTTATTCAAATAAACGTAGATTGCCCTATGAAAATTGCGTTGGTCTCTAGCTCTTTTTCATACTGTTTTGCCTGCATACAAATGCAATAAGCGAGCACGTGCTGGGCTAAGGCAGCCTCACGTCACGCGAGTGCCTAACCGATGCACTATAATTCATACATGGACCTTCTGTATTGTTCACAGTATCGACTATTTTTCTCATTTGGTTTTGGGGGATTTATTTCCGTTAGCAGGGCAGTCGTTTGTTATTTCTGCATTAGTATGCCATATAGGCAGCTGTTGATGCATGGAGACACTGTCCTTTTGTTCCTGGCTTGTTACTGTTGATGATCATTAGCGTGTTTCTAACCTTGCCTCTGAGACATTGAGTGAAAAAAAGTCATTTAAAAACCCTGCAGCCACTGAAGCATTTCATTATATTACTTGTCTATGCTACTTTAATTATACATATCAAGTTTATGGCCGCACTGCTTGTGGTCCAGAAACCATACATCCAAATTAACTGCAGTCTCCATTTTTTTGGCTGCAAGGTTTGCAGTAAGTAATGGGAGAGCTGTGTATAAGTGTGTCTGCACATAGACACTCTCAAGCACCAGTAAATATGGTCATGCTCTGTTTGTTTTCCTATTAGAGGCTGTAGGCTGCAGCTGGGATCATTTATGCTTTATGTTCAGTGAGGCATCATTGGCCCGCAGGTCTGTGTGGCTGGACCCTTTACAGAGCGGTTGCTGCTGGCCAACACTAACAAGTCATTCTGAAAATCAGTTTACCTGAAGCAAGGCTGAAGTCCATTCTTTGCAGGTTTACCTTTGTGCTGCAGGTTACGAGTTTATATCAAGCACAACGTAACTGTTTGAGCTGTGTGCTTATGGATTTATACATTGAAGACACATTCATTTATAAAATTCCTGTCCTGTTATTAATCTAGTTGAAATATTTTCTAGATGCGTGTTCACTGTTCAACATTTGTATTCATTTCACACACACCCATTACTGTTTATTCTCTTTGTGTGTCTATTCCAGGTCATAATGGTAATCACGAGTCATTCGTCATGCACAACATGTTATGTCAGGTGTGCCAGTTTGAGCCGTTAATATGGAAAGCGGGGGATTGTACAAATGAATGAAGACAAGTGGGACAGGTTTCTTAAGGCTTGGGAAAGGTTGCTTACTAACTGTCAGATGAGCTCATCGTAAATGTTACAGATGAATTCACTGAACTTTCTGCAGCACTTTTTACATCTTACAAACCTTTCACAATCAAGTTGAACCAGGCATTTAATGTGTTGCATTTTGAGTATTTCAATGAATTATCATTCTTTCTTGTGCAAATATGCCTCTTTTCTGTCTAAATTGGGCACATTGTTATTTGCTTGCCACAATAAATAATGTGCTTTTACCACCTATGGATAGCAGGCATTGAATGATTTTAAAACTAGATTTGTGTACATATTCTCTTGACTATGGCAAAAGTTATTCATCAGATTACAGAGAAAAACATTTTAACCAGGCATGTTGGTGGAATGATGCTGTACAATCATAGTAAAGTATGTGCGATCTTGGTATTCTGAGATATCTTCCACCATTTAAAACTTAGAACTGAGCCTTGTAGTATATACTCTGACATTGTACTGACAAGTATTAACACTCACACACTCATTTTATTTTGCCCAGAGTGTGTCATCACCATTGTCTCTTTAGTGTTGTCTCTACCACATTGTTGTTCACCTATCCCAGCAGCCCCAGTAACCCACTTTTTTACTATACGATTTAATGGATCCCCTATCTTGATATTATCCCACCCCCACCTCATTTCCCCTGTCTCTAAGCCTGACAATCTGTCACCTGTACCGATTCCTTTTTTTCTGAAGCTGGAAATTTAGGATAGTGGGGCAGCGGGCTATATGTGGAGAATGAGGACAGGAATGAAGGCTCAATGGGCTGAGGGAGAAAATGTTGCCAACATGAGCTGAACAGAATATCTTTACCCTGAAACAAAGTCTGCCTCTCAGTGATATGCTATATGTGTGCGCCGTCCTGTTTGTGTGTCTGTCACACTTCGTAACCTGTTACTGGGGAAACCTCAGCCAGTCGTTTAGCCTGCGTCTTCTGAATATTGTTTTACTTGAAGGCTGGAGAGAGGATGAATGCATATCCAGACTCTTTAACGGAAAGCTTGTTGTTTTTGCGTTGATTAAAGAACTAACGATAATGCATTTGCTTCTGCTGAGGGAGAATTATGCACAGCATCTGTGCTCCGCAGAAATCCTGCCTCCCTTTCAGACTCGACCGGATATTCATTTAAACCAGCAGTCTAGCTGGTAATCTGGCCTCAGGAGGAGAGGAGGAATTTAGGAACTCAAGCCTCATTTGTTATCTTTTTGTCAATTACATCTCATAGCAATTTAAAAGAATTTGTCTTTATTATCTTATTTTGGCGCACTAAGAAAAAACTACCAATGGTGTTTTGGATATTTTTTTAAAGTGGTGAATAAAACAAATTGAAGTATGTTTTACAAGAAAAGTTAGTTTTTCTACTTCAAAATTTCAGGTATAATTCAATGTTACTTGCAGTTTCTTTGTAATTATTTGTGAAAATGTTAGCCATTTCTGAGTGAAAATAATTTCTACGCCATTGTTTTCTCCAGTGTATCATCATTATATTACAATATTCAGGTCCCTATATGAGATTTTTAAATTGTGTTCGTTTTCATTTGTTTCATAAATGTAATCTAAATAAGAGTCAAAGACACTTCTATGAGTTGCGGTACTGGACATAAAATGAATGGAAAAGCGAAATGAAAGAAAGACTGAAACTGATGCCGCGGATGTAGTCTCTCTAACAGGTTTACAAGCAGTTTCAGTATGAATAAATTATAATATTGTGACATATTGTAACAGTTGCCTATCTGAAACACTTACTACCATGTTGTTTTGTACCTTGAAATACACTAGGGGTGTAATGGTGCAAGATTCTTATAGTTCGGTTTGCATGCATCATTATGCTAATTTACATCCGGTGGTTAACAGTGTGGTTCGTTTTTTTTTTGGCGAGAAACCTTTTTTTTTTTGTAAGGCACATTATTCTAAGGCACATCACCATATTTCTACTGCATACTGAAAAAGATAATCACAATCATTTGTTAATCTCTATGGCGTAATGATTCTGTACTGCTATGGGTTCATTGAGATGGACTCACTGTAACATGACATACTGAATTGGTCAGAGGAACAGTGTTGGGAATCCTTAGAGAGTAGATTACACTCTACTGTAGCTCATATCATATTATAGGCTCTTTTTATAATGCTACAGCATAATGCGCCACATTGCAGAATTCAGCAAATTCTGTTTCACGCTTATGAACTAGAGACCGCTGCTGGCTGTGAAAGAGTGCTGTCTGATAAAAATTCAAGCAGAGTTCCAGAAATCATCTACAACGACTCAACAAAATCAACATATGCAAGGCGAGCAGCCAGCTTGCATTTTAAAATGCAGAAAACATTATTTTTCTCTATCGATCACCACATCAGAGTGTGTGCAGACCTGTTTAGAATGAATAGAACCAGTGGCTGGATGCTGTTGGAGATGTTGTGGCACCTGTAGAACAATGAGGTAGATTGTTTACGCAACCCCCAACAGTCACATTATGTTAATGCTTTGTGTTCTTGTGCGAGTCCCTGCGGACCCAGACAGTCTCCCTTGCTCCCCTCCTCTCTGTTTACTCTGCTCCTACTAGGCTCACATCAGCTTACGCTGGGCCACGCCAAAGTTCTGTACCCAATTACTGCAGAAGTGTTTGCTCCATACTGTCTCCCTCTGAACCATGCTATGAACATGGACAGAGATGGCAGGGGAAAAACAACCTGCCTCATGAAAAATGACAGCTCTCCTTTAAAAAAAAGAAAGAAGCAATCTCTCACCAATTTCTCTAAAGTGTGGATCAGAGGAGGCCCGTTTCTTTTGTGAGGTGACATGAGACTCAGTGTAGTTGTGGCTGGGGGAAAATAGAGATTTCATAGCTGTTGGTGATGGTGTTCATGTGAGACACTGTAGCTTTGTAGATTCTCGTCCGATAGGAAAGAAACATCACAAATTAGATCTCTTTAACATCTTAATTGTTTCTTCTAGGCAGTAATGAGATTGAATGAAGAGCAAATGGAGACTTTTGCTCATGCTTCTCTTGTTTTTTTGGTGTTGCTTTGGACCCCATTCACTTTTTATTGTATTGAGAAACACATTTTCTTTTGTGTTTCACAGAGGAAAGAAAGTCATAAAGGTTTGGAATGACATTTCTGATGTACTTAACAACTACTTCTGTACTGTAGATGGTTCTGTAAAGACCACACAGATTTTTAGGTAAAAACAGTTGTCCCCATCTTAATTTTCAGGGGGGTCAGAAGTATTTCATGTAGGCTATTTAGTGGATGAGCACAGCCAATATGAACTTAATTTATCATTTGTTTTTTTTAGATTATCTAAATTATAGAGCGGTGCTATCCAAATCAATTTTTAGAACTCTACTCTATTGTATTTTATTTTGTTCTCTTTTAATTAGGATACATGTTTCCATTTGAATG